GTAGTTGGAGAGACAAGCACATACTCAACTAATATGCACAATGATAAATGGTGGAGATGTTGTCAGACCAGAGAATAATAGAAGTGTTATTTCTGAGTGGGAAAATCTAAAGGATTGTGGAAGATGTGGCAGCTGCCCCTTGAAGGATGTTAGGGCATTAAGCAGTAGAGGGGCCAAGACAGGGAGGACATCTGAGGCAGAGAAGATTGTTGGGGCGAAGGCTCAGGGTGGTCAGCCACAGTGTAGTCAGGGAACAGCAAAAGAGATCTGCTGTGGAGGGTGGGAGGTTAGGATGGAAGAGCACAGGGCCAGGTGGGCCTTTGTGAGTTGGTCTAATCACTTACAATGAAGTAGTTGTCCATACTTTTCACGTTGAATTACAGGCAGGTAATTTTCAAAAGCCTAATTCTTCTAAACAGATGTGGTCTTGTCTCAGACTAGAGTTGTCTCACAGTCAATAGTTCATTACTATGAAAAATAAGAAAGTGATTAATTGAAAAATATTTGTTATATTTAACTTTCTAAGGATAGATTTGTCAAAGAGCAGCACAAAAGATGTTTTAATAGATTTATGTCCTTCTGTAACTCTGTACCTTATTTTGGATAAAGCACACTAAGCCTCGGTCTGTCATCGAGGATACCAAGTCTGCAGGCTCTATCATGGGATCAGGAGAAGGAATAAAGGGAAAAATAAAGGATCTCTGACAAGGGTCAGGCCCAAGAATAACTTGCCAAAGACCATGGAGATCTAATATCAGTGCCCAGCTATTTGTGTGAGTATCTGGACAGCATCATGCATAAACTTCTTTTGTTGTAGGGTGTCCATGCAGTGAGGGACCCTGCAGGCGGTAAGAAATCAAAGACATGATCTCTAGCTCAGTGCTGTTTACATGATTTTATGTTATCTGGACAAGAGGCTAAATGGAATTCAATCCTTTATTGAGATATTTGGATGAACCAAGCATTTATCCACATCTCCAACTTCAGTTTAATTTTTCCAGTGAGGAACTGAAACATAGAAAACTCATGGATAGAGTCTATTGAATTCCTGAAATTCAGTTCATTTGAAAGTCACTAATAGGTAACAATATACATACATATTAAATATATTATAAAATATATGATGAGATACTTTAAGAAAATGCTTTTGAAATATTACGAAGTAATTATTATTGTCTATGTCTACATCTGTTTTTCATTTTGCTTATTCAACATTATGCTCTTGAAGATTGACACCACTGTAATCTGATTTTGAGTTACACACGAGTAGTATCTTAACTGGGGAAATGTCTCATCTTACTCTTAAAAATACTGGCTCTGTCTCATCTCACTCTTAAAAATACTGGCTTTGGGGCTTCCCTGGTGGCGCAGTGGTTGGGAATCCTCCTGCTGATGCAGGGGACACGGGTTCGTGCCCCGGTCTGGGAAAATCCCACATGCCACGGAGCGGCTGGGCCCGTGAGCCATGGCCGCTGGGCCTGCGCATCCGGAGCCTGTGCTCCACAACAGGAGAGGCCACAACAGTGAGAGGCCTGCGTACCGCAAAAACAAACAAACAAACAACAACAAAAAAAAAAATACTGGCTTTGGTCCTGATGTGGGACCTTTTGAAGAAGCATCATTTTGTTTCTTAGCCTATGTCTTGCATCTATCTGAGTGAAGAAAAAACCAACAATTTGAGCATTTGATCCATTTACACATTTCTGCCTCCTCACTCTCATCTATAAGGAGACAGCTTTTCAAATGTACATTTTCACCTCTGTGGGCAAATGACAAATAGTGTAGCTGTGTTACCAACAATAGAAAAAAGAAAAAACAACGAAACCATCTATAACACTCGATATTTGGCTAGCAGTAAGGAACAGCGTGATAAATTATGGTACTTCACTAAAATGTCATATTACACAATTGTTAAGTGATAATTAGGAACACTGCATAGAAACATGAAAACATATTTAGGATATAACTAAAAGAGAAAAGAAAAAAAGCACATTTATAATATGTAAGGTGGGGGAGGCCTGGAAGATATATCAATACTAAAATGGAAATATAGTAGTTCTGTTAGGATAGTGGGACTGTGTATTTTCAAAAACATTTTCTTTAATGTTATAAAGTGCTAGTAAAGCAGCAAATTCACCAAATAAATGATGCTGTAGACACAGGAAGGAGATACTAATAAATAAGTAGAGGTTGGAGATAACAAAAGGGAAAAATATTTCAAAGGATGAATCTTCCTTCTCTACATTTGCCAGCCCCATGGCTATTAAGATCCAAACTATTGAAAACATTCTCAAAGGAGCTGGTTAGTAGGGCTTGGAAGAGAGCCTGAACTTGACTGTATCTGGATTTTGTTTGCCATGATTGCAGTGGAAACTAAATTTTGAAACAGTTGTTTAAATAAGCTCCAGCTTAGCTATCTTGGCTACATTCACACTTCGGAATCAAGAAACAGTTTGGAAAAAGAATACCGTGTGCAATATAAATAGGAATATAGAGCAAGAGAAATTCAGTAGAGAAGACTTCAAAAATAAAATGCCTATTTAAAATCAAGTTGAAATGACTAATTGGATTAACAGAAAATAAAAAATAACCAATACTGAGTTAAATTTATATTTGTCTGAATGCTCTTAAAGGATACCAGGAACAATACTCATGTCAGTTCTGTTCATGTTAACCATTTGCTAACACTGTTGATTGGAATGAACTGCTTGCTCTGCTTTCCTCTAAAGAGCTCAGACCCCTTTCTCTTCTCTTCCACCTCTGTTCAAAAGAATGACAGTTTTACCCTGAATAGCACTTAACAAGTGTTGATGTGGGGCACTAGGCTACCTTGCTTCGTGTTAGGTGGGGGTGGCTTAATATAAGATGTTAAGAAAAATTCACACACACAATCACACAGTTTATTCTTTCCAGTCAAAGTTAAGCCTCCCAGCTCAGCACTTGCACACCATTATGTTAGCACTGCAGAAAATTCCCTCAAATGCATACTTAGATACTTTAAGGATCTTAAGTAGGTAGATGGAAGAAGAAACTTAAAGTTTCTTCTGAAATAGGACTTGAAAATGTAATAAAATACCCTATCTCTCTAAACTAGTAGTTGACTTTCGATTTGGAAATTGGAGTGTGTGTGTGTGTGTGTGTATGGTATCAAGGAGTTTGAACTGAAGAAATCAGAAAGTAACTTTTCCAAACCCCAAACCATACCTGACACTACAACCATCTCTTTTCAGACCCTGTGTAGAATTTGCTGAGTCTGCGTGAACATCTCTCTCTGATGTCTTGCTATCTCCTCACCTCTAAAGATGTCCACAAGTGACAAATTAGAGAAGATTTTTATTCCTAAGAGTTATCCAATAATTTTTACCTTCGTAGAAACATGATTTCCATCTTTCAAAATGCAGTAGAATTATTAAGAGGTATTGTGATTTTAGGAAACTATTTTCCCTCCATTCCAAATCCAAAGTAAATTACATTTAGTACAAGGGTATGTATTTGATTATTTGGGGTATACTAATATTGAAAATTTTCTTCTTAAAAATATTTTGCCCTTAACATCTTCATTTTATTCCCAGAAGTATATTTTGTTGAATAAATAATATTTGGTAATAAAACAAATCCACTTTCATACATCTACAAAATTCTTTTGAATAGCAACAAGAATTCAATCCATGTTGCATAATTGTTATTATGAATTGCATAACCTTGGCATGCATTTTGCTGTAATTCATTTCCTGGCAAAATATAAAGTGCCTTTGACATAATGCCATAGAATATTCAAACTGGGAATGAATGATAGAAATAATCTGGTGTCAGTCAGTCCCACTTTTCCCATTTCAGGGACTGAGGTGCAAGAAGGTAAAATTTGCTCAGGATCACACATCTCATTTTCCAACACTTAAGTCATACTAAAATAAAATTACAATTTTGATGTTGAATTTGATTAGAAAATTATGATTTTTAAGGGCACAATTCTTAAGACAGAATAAATGCCACACTTAAAGAATTACAGAGTTGGATCTGAAATACGCAAAAGAGGTATGCCCAAAATTTTTGTGCTCACCCCTTTTGGGAGAAAGTGGCTGAAACTATACAATCATTAAAAAATAAATCATTCTTTGAAGGATGCAAAGTTATCCTGATCTTTAAAATGAAATATACCACCATTTCTATACATAATTTAATTTTTCTCTTCAGCAGGGATCAAATGGTATTTTGGTTGATTGCCAGTGAGCAAATGAAGTAGGAAATACATTTTAGGATCCCATTGTGATTTTTTTTTTCTCAGCAGCAAAAAATTAAATAAAACAGACCTTTGTCATGTAATGTTCACTGATCAGGTGAACATAATAAAAACTGGGCTTTAGTTAAATCTAGTGGATTAACTCTTGTTTCATTGGCATTTACAGTCTTTGGGAGTGTTGAACAAGTGTACAAATAATGACATTTTCAGAAATTTAACCACTGCATTTCATGTAAATTCTGCATAAAGTTCAAGACTAATGGTATTGACGTCACAGACTTCAAATTTTAAAAGGCATATAGGAATAGTAATAACATCTCCCAGAAACGTTAAAGACACTTGTATATATATGTAAAATCCATTTTGACTTGATGAAAACAAATTCTAATCTATGAAAATATTACATCAAGTCATATTGCACCTGATGAGGAAATTATACATGAATGATAGTAAATGCTAAAAACCACTTCAGATAAAGACCCAGTAAGTCAAATTAAATGAAGAGTTTCAGAAGTAACATAACCATCTAAAAATGTTAGTTTTTCACACAACTGGTCACACTTATTTTGCTTTACTTAAAATCCCTGGTCTTGTCTGAAGATAATACCATAAAACTCAATTACATAATTCAACTGTCTTTAACTCCCCTTTCTCCAGTAGCCATTGCACCTTAGGAGGTTTGTAGCTATTCTATCTTAATTTTTTTTTCTTTCAGCAAATACTAAGTGTGAAAAGCTTCACCAGACGAAAATCATTTCATACAATGAAGCACTGAATTGTTTTTTCATTCAGTTTCTTTAGACTGAAAGCAGCTCAGTTTCCCTATGAATAGTCCACGTATCATTTCATGCCTGGTATCTGCAGCCCACTCTAGATTTATCTTGCTTTCAGCAGGTACTCGGTAGCACTTTCTGGGTTATTTTACAAAACATCCAACATGGTTTAAATTGTTTAAAAGCAATTGGAACTGCTTCCTTTCCTACCCACTGCCTCTTCAAGTGTCCTTAACCTTCATCATCCTTCCCTAAAATGTGTCCCCAACATGCCTATTTACATGGCTCTCAGGCACCGGAGGCTTGCACACCCATCACATACCCGGTCAGTTTCTAACAGTGTGAAGGCTGTTGGAGCAGGGCAGTTTCCTTCCATTGAGAGCTGAGTATGGTCATATTGCTTTTAACACAGTGACCCTTGTATGCAAAGCTTAGACTATCGTCTCATGGTCCCATATGCCTTGGCTCTGATTGATGTAACAACAGTATCTTTCATAGGGTCTGTTCAGCTTGTAGGAGCAAACGATGATACTGTCCTGGGGCACAAAGAAGATGCTGTCCTCAGGCTCAGGGCACTCAGACCTGTCCCAGGCTGAGCACTTGGCATCCAGCGCATTATAGGTGAGGGAACTGCCTGAGGGACAGTAGCCATCCAGGTGTCTGGACGGCTCCTCCCGATGCCCGCTCTGGACCCGGCTCTGGCATTCTCCTTCCTCCGTGGGTGTGGGGGTGGTGATGGAGCTGACCATAGGCACCTCGCCCTGCCCTTGGAGGGGGAGCTTCCCCCTGAGGCACACCTTCTTTGCCAGTTCATCTGAGCTCCCCTTGCCCGACTCCAGGTCTGAAGGGGTCCTCAGCAGTTCCACCACCTCCTTGTCCTTGGGTTTCCGGAAGCAGGGCAACTTGCGGACCCATAGCAGCTCATTCTCGGGCCACTTGGTGCATCCCTCAGTTTTCCTGGCCAGGGCAATGGCTGCGATGCCTGGGAGGCAGATGGCTGGCCCTATGGCCAGGAGGGGGATGTTTCCCAGAGTCTCTCCTTTCATCCCAGAGACAGTGAACATGAAGCCAAAGACCAGGAAGACACTCACCAGGGCCACAACCAGCCCAGTCCTCGGGTTAATGTCATCAGGCCGCATCTTTCACTCCATCCAGGTTGGGGACTGCCTGCTAGCCAGGGAGCAATGTTCCTCCCTACTGTCAGAGGAAAACGCACTGGGTTAAAAACAAAACAAAACAAAGCACCCAAGTCCATTTCCCAACCACCAACTATCTCTCTTACTCTTTGTGTCTGACACTCTACTGTCTGTCAGTCTTGGTCTCTGTCTGTTTCTCCCTCTATTTCTGTTGCTCTCTCTCTTTCTCTGTTTATCTGTCTCCTTCTTACTATTGCAGCCCCTGCCTCTCTCTCATATAGTCATCCACAGGCTGGGGTCACTGCGGTACCTGAGGTTTCCTGCCGTCTCCCGGGAGCGCGGGGAAAAAACACCAGTTTGAGTCTCCTTAGAAACCTCCACAGCAGCTGTTTCCTCGGCTCTCTCCCTTGTTTCTGGAAGGAAAGCCTGGTTTTCCAACTGACTCTGCATCCAGGAGGTGGGACGTGGGAGCTTGTCTTTCCCAGCAGTGCCCGTCGGTCTCCAGGGCTTTGGGAGCTGAGCGGCGGCGCAGGCCAGCACCCAGCTCTGCGCGCAGAGCGCCGGGTGCTGGAGGGAGGAAGGACTTAGCCTGGGAAAGAGGGAAAGCGGCGCGCGAGTCTGGCCTCGTTACATCACTTTCAGAGCAAGCTCAGAAACAAAGAAGGACGCGCGGGGGCGCGAGGGGGCTAAACCCAGGGGAGAGGCCAGCCGGACAGAAGAGGCTGCCCAGGGTCCAGTCGGGGTGCTTGGAGCAGCCAGAGTTCGTCCCGCCACTGCCCGTGAGGGCTGAGTAAGGCGGCTGGACATGCTCCGTGCCCGGGAGGGTCCGGGGTGCGAGGCTGCCGCGTGCCGGAGACTGGAACTCGGGCCGGTTTGCCCACGGGACAGCCTGGGCTCCGAGTCCGCGGTCCGAGGCCCAGAGGTGCCAGCTGGAGATGCCCCTCGGGGACCTGGATCCTTCTCCAGTTACAGATCTGGGGGCCCCATCCGACCTATGGCAGCTCCCAGAGATTCCCCTACCGTCTCAGAACGTCGAGGCTCTCAGGGCTCGGAGGGCTGCATTCCTCCCGGGTCCTCCTGCCCGCGACCTCTCTGGGTTCGCGCGCTGGGCGGCAGTGGCGCGCAAAAGCGCTCTAGCAGCGAAGCGGACTGCGTTGCTGGAGCGCACGGGAAGCGCCCAGACTGAGTTAGTGGTCAGCCGGGTCTTGCTCGAGCCTTGGGGGAGTCACCAGAGTCCTTCCCCCTGGTCTTACAGCTCTGGATCCTGGAGGGGGTGGCCTTGGAGCTCGGATCCTACTCCGACACGGCCGTGGTGCCAGCCACGCCGGCTGGGTCAAAGGAGAAAGGCTCTCCAGCCCCGGCTCCCCATCCCCGGCTCCCCATCCCCGCACCCAACACCCAGCTAACAAGGAGAAGGAGGGGCCTTGACTGGGAGGATCAGGCCGCCCAGCCCGCGAAGCAGCTCCAGCTTTGCGCGATTCTGTCCTTTGCTGACGCTGGTGTGGAGAACCTGTCTCCTCCCCACCACATCAGGGGCTGGATTCCTCTGGCCCCAGGGGCAAGACTGGCTTTGGCTGGGTTCTTCAACAAGACTGCTCATTTAGGGTAGATGGGGAATATTGAGGAACCAGACGTGGAGGGGCAGGGGCGGAAGGGGGAGGGAATGGTACATTCTTTCATGTCAAGGCCCTGCCTTGGTGGAAAGAATTTTGACATCCAGGCCTTCCCCACTTAAACTAGCCATGTGTTCTTGGGCAAGTGACTTAACCTCTCTGAGAATCAGTTGACCCATCTGTAAAATGAGAATATTGTTATCAAATATGTGAAGGAACAAATGTAATGAGGACTAAATAAATGTAAAGTTCCTAGTGCAATGCTTGGTACACGGTTCTGGTTCACAAAGTGGATGAAATGTGTACTTTCATAGTATGTGATCATCAATGTAAGGCACGAGCCGAATCATAAAGAGCCTGTCTGTGGGGCTAAGGACCTTTGACTTTATCCACTAAGCAGTGAAGAATCGTCTTGGTGTTTTAAGCAGGAATCAACATAAAAGTATTCCATGTTTGACAGCAGGTTAGAGGACGGGTTGGAAAGGGTAGATGTGGAAGCAGGAGGACAGTTCAGTAAGCCAGGCAAGACATGGCACGGGCCTGAATGATGCAGGGCTAGTGGGGTGGTCAGAAGAAAGTGAATTTGAAGACTATTTAAGGGTACAATCAAGTGTCTTGCATCAAAGGAAGTGAGATGGCAGTAGGAGTCCAAGGCTGACTCCCAAGTTTCCCACTCTTTCCACTGAGTGGATCAAGAATCAGACTCAATTTTCCACTCCAGCATCTACTGTGTGTCTCTTGTACTCATGCTCATTAGACAGCTGCTGTACCTCTGGACATAGAATCATTATTTTGGAAGGAAGGAAGGAAGAAAGGAGAAAAGGTAAAGAGCAAACGTGAGATGCCAGCTGTTTGACCATTTGTATCAGGAAAATAATTGTTTTCCTGGCAGCCCCACTAAATAGATAGACATCTGCTTATATCTCATTGTCTAGAAGGATGTCATAGGGGCCACCTCTGTGCAAAGGAACCCGGGAAATCAAGATTTTGTTTTTGGGGGGTTTTTTTGGACCAGATTTATTGCCACTTTGAAAAAAAATCAGGGTTTTGTTAGCGAGGAAAAAGAGAACAATGAATCTTGGAGAAGCAACCAGAAGCATGTGCCACAACTATCGAACATACTTACCTTCTTGCAGCCCTCTCTTCCCTTGCCTTTACTAATGCCTTTCTATCCTGATTTCCCTCTTATCTCCCTGGCCACTCATTTGTAGTCTACTCTGTAAACTCCTCTTTATTTTATTAATTTTTATGTTGAACAAAGCCCTTCGATGTTGATATTCTGCTGGCTATGCTGATGACCCCCTATGTTTATCTCTTTAGCCTTGTCCTTTTCCCTCAATTTCAGATTTATAGTATCTAACTGTTTGCTTGATATCTGTCTGTACAGCACACAGACACTTCAAATTCAACACAGCTTAAACTCTGCTCATTAAATTTCCTTCAGACAGGCTCTTTCTCATTTGACTCCCTCATTCTTCCTATACCCCCAACCGAGAAACTGTGGGATTGTCCTCTATTCCTTTGTCTCTCTAACAAGCTACATCCAGTAAATCAATCAAATCATCGTAGTCTTACCCCCTAAATTCCCTGATCTTCTCCTCTTCTGTGACCTGAGGTAAGTCACTTTACCTCCCTGGGTTTCAATTTCCTGTGAAACAAGGGCTTTGGGCAGAGCTAGCTGAGGTGCATTTCAGCTCTACTATTCCGGGGTTCTCCGACAGTCACTTCTGCAGGGCTGAACTGTCGTTAGTGTTGTGCAGGTGCTCTGACAATAGTGCTGGAAACCTAGTTGGAGCCTAAAGAAGCAACATTGCTGAACAGAGACCTCCTCTCACTCGTACAAGCATCTAATTCCATTTGACTTTTAAGCCAGGCAGTTCATCTACTTAGGCATTAGATAAGACCCATGCATAAAACCACAGGAAACTTCAATTACTGTTTAATTATAAGCCTCATTCTCAAAGCAGTTCCTTCTTAGAGGTAATTTCAGATGGTCTTTGAACAGCAGGTATACTTGCGCAAGTCAGCAGCAAAAGTGGGTGGAGATGGGAGACATCACTCAGGGTTATAATATTCAGGGACAGAAAAGGCATCCTCAGTATTTAATTTCTTGCCTGTACAGGCTGATTGCACTAGGCTTTTAAAACCTTAAGCAGTTCTCGCAATGCTATAAGCATATACAGCCACGTACAAAAGCTTTTCATCAGAAGAAAAAGGAAATTCAGGTTGTAATGAGGCTTTGTATGTATGTGGGTGTTTGAGAAGGAAATGCAGAACCTTTTATTTCTGAAATTATTGAGATCATGGGACGCTAGAATTTGAAGATACCTTATAGAATATCTACTCTAACTCCCTTAATCATACAGATGAAATCCAGAAGGGTTGCAATCATTCAGTACTACTTGAGTATATATTATGTGCTTGGCACTGTGCTAGGTGCTGGAGATACAAGTCAGTAAGACATGGTCACTCACATTCACAGAGCAAGATATGTATAGTAGTTAGGATAGGATAGATTATGCTGTGGCAACAAAAGATTTCAAGATCTCAAAGGCTGTATGCTCATCCTTGTCTCTCATGGATCAGCTGCAGCCTTGCTCCATGTTGTCTTCACTCTGGGATTCAGGCTGCAGGGCAGCTTCCAGTTGGGACATTGCCAGTCCATTGAATCCAGGCACCAGAGACCCTGCACTGAGCCTTCACTTTAGTAGCTTCTCTCTGGCTCCCCTGGCTGTGCCCCGTCTCTCTAGGCCAAAGGATCTGCTGAGGTAATGCCCCACTTGGAGACCTTACCCCCCTTTCTAGGCCATGTGATGGGTACCTGGGACCTTAAAATTCCCCACCCAAACAGCCCCATACCAGCTTCCAGGGCTTGTGTACAGCTCTTTGCTTGGTCCATCCTCCCAAGGGTTGACCATACTACAGGTGTGCACACCCCTAGGCCTGTGGGACAGTCAGGGGGCCACTATGATTTTGAGTACAGATAAAACTCAGGCATGCAAGATGGGCTGTGTATTCCAGCCTCTTCATGGTTCAGAACAGAGCCAGAGGAGGGAAAAGAAAAGACAGCATTCATTTTATTCTTGCGTGGGGCCTCGCACATGTTAGAGACAGGCCTGGGTGGAGGGTCTGGGGAAAGGAGAGAGAAGTCCCAACTCATATTTTAAAGAACTCTGTCTAGCTGTTGTGTAGAAAATAGATTTAAGGTGGGTTGAGGGCAGAAGCAGGGAGGCCAGTTGGGAGACTATTGCAATTATCTAGGTGAGAGTTGATGGTGGCTTATGGATGTGGCTAGAAGTGGTCAGATTCTGATGTATTTTAATGCAAAGCTGATAGTATTTGCTAATATATTTGGGATGTGAGGAAATTGTGTAATCAAGGATGATTCTAGATTTGGAAT